CCACTTAGATCAACAAAAAAAAAAATTTTTTTTTTTTAACTACTTTTTGTTAAACAGTTACAATTAAATAAAAATTTTATACATAGGACGGTTAAGTGGTAACTAGTTTTTATTAATTTTCATAAAGTATCGTATTGTCTCCAAACAATCGTTATATAAAAAAATTTTAGCCCGAAAGCTTTTTAAAAAGTGAAAAAAAATCGTTTTTAAAATTTTGACAAAGTCGTAAAAATAAAACCAACGTGGCTGTATCTGTAATTCTTTAAATAATTGTTTCAAATTAATTTTTTAAATTTAAAATTATCGTATTTTTAAAAAAAATAGTGTACAAAAATTTCGCTCAAATGAGCTCTTTAAAATTGAAAAAAACCTTTTGAAGTTTTTACATAATCCCCAAAAAAAGATGCCATCCTTTTTAAAAATTTTTTTAAAAATTAGTTTTTAAATTTTTTTTTGAATTTAATTTCTGTATTTACCCCAAAAAAATCAGATAAATTTAATCTGGGTTTTTAAAAAATGATTTTATTATTAAAAATTATGAAGATTTAAATTAAAAAAAAAAAAAATTTTAAAAAAAAGTTTTATTTAAATTTTAAAAATTAAAAAAAAACTTTTTTTTAAAATTTTTTTCTTTTTAAAAATCTTACAAATTTTGTTTTAAAATCTTGTACAGTTTAAGTCCGTTTTCTTGTTTAAAAATTTTTAAAATTTAAAAAAAATCGCAAGTTAAATTTTGGTTTTATCACACAAAAGGGAAAATTGGCAATTTTAAATAAATTTGGCCAAATTGAACAAAAAATTTTAAAAAAAAAAAGTTTTTTTTTTTTTTTGGTTTAAATAAACTTTTTCAAAATTTTTTCGGGTTCCGAAAATTTTATTCAATTATTTAATGATATTTTTTCAAAAGGCGTTTTGCTGGGTTAATTTTCCCGTCCAGCTAAGGGGTACTCAACATTTTTCCTTGCAGGCCACATATATATGATAAATATTTCACTCGGGCCGCAACAAAAGGATAATGGGAAGGGGGATAAACACTGGTAGACCAAAACAACATTGGACAAAGCAAAATTAAATAAAATATTAAAACTCTTTGTTTTTTTTTTTTGTTTTACCATAATACACTCATGGACAAAAAAAATTAGAGCACCAAGGAGTCGTCAACATGAAACAAAATTTTACATGTAATGATTACTTTAAAATAAGTAAGTGATTAGAAAATCAAAGAAAGTAGATAATTTATTTCAGAGAAAAAGGCAAAAGAACGGAGGATTTAATTCTCTGTTGAACCCCTTCTATATAGCACGAATGCACGAAGCGATATGATCGGACATTGAGGCATTCAAGTTCTATATGATGTCTTGAGAAATTTCGTTCCATATTTGCTGTAACCTTGTCCTAGTTCTTTCAAACTCGTGGGATGCCCAAATCGCTGTCCCAAATGATCCCAGATATGCTCGATTGGAGACAAATCTGGAGATCTGGCAGGCCACGAAAGGGTAGTAACAGTGCGCAGACAGTCTTGTGACACCCTTGCCACGTGAGGACGAGCATTCTCTTGTTGAAAAATGGTGCCTGGAAGCCGTTGCAAGAGTGGCAACACGTGTGATTGCAGGATGTCATGGACATGGTATTGTAGGCAATGGCACCTCATACCATCACACCAGCTGTGGGAGCGATGTGTCCCTGTAAAGCAAAAGCAGGATTGAGGCGTTCACCCCGGGGTCTCCATTTGCAATTGTCATCACTGCTGAGATTGAATCTGGATTCGTCGCTAAAAACGACCCGGTTCCATTCCGCTGCAGCCCAGTTTCCTCGTGCGTGGCACCACTCCAAACGGAAGCGTTGATAGGTGGGCGTCAAGGGCAGCACACGTAATGGGCCTCGCGATCCCAAATGTCCATCAGCCAGAAGCTTTGTATGGTTCGAGAAGACACAGGGGCCCCTAGTGAAAGTGCTACCTTTGCTTGGATGGCAGGCCAGTGAAGCATTTGGCTGTACGTGTGCATTTCTTACGATGTGGCCGTCTTTCTCGATGACTGGTCTGTCGTGGACGTCTTGAGCCTGGTCTTGGTGTAAATGACATCCCTCGGATCCACTGGTCCGAACACCTCCTCACAACACAATCAGTCGGCCCTTGACGATCTACTCGCTAGCTGACCACCCAACTTCCATCATGCCGATGTTTCTCCCCCTCTCAAACTGCGACAGCTGCTCATATTGTCTTCGAAAATGGCGTAATGACATGTCTACATCATTTCTTTCTTTGTAAACGATTCAGCACACTCAAACCAGCTGTGGTTACCTGTTTTTATACTCCACGAGAACGACGTTAAACCCCTTTCCCCTTTATACGTAAGCGCAACCCCTGCATTTCTAATCTTTCCCTATCTTCTGGACATGTACGCTTTTTCGTTACGACCCCCTTATTTTTTGGGTGGCAAATTTTTTTTTCCGTGAGTGTACTATAAAAAAAGAAAAACCATTTTTTTAACCCAGTTTTTAAAAAAATTTTTTTCATTTTTTGTGAAAAATTTGATAAAACTTTCTACAAACAAAAAAAATTTTTGGCGATTTTAAAAATGAAGAATTTTTTAAAAATTTTTTAAAAAAAATTTTAAAGTATTTTTGAAAAACCGTAAAAAAAAGTTTTAAGCATTTTTTTTTTTAAAATGACTAAAAAAAAAAACCTAATTTTTTCTTAGTGCAGAAAACCCTTTGAAAACAAAAAAAAATTCATACAGAATGATTTAGAAATCATTTTTATGAAAACGCATCGATTTTGAAAAGGGAAAATTAAAATCTTTTGGGGAAAAAAATGGGTCTTTGGTTAGGTAACTATTTTTTTTTGTTTTGTTTAAGAAAAAAGATGGTTTTTTTAAAAAAGAAAAACGGAACTTCTTTATGCTCCCAAAACTCATAAACTGCTCTGCAAATAAAAGGAAAAAAACAGGGGATCAAAAAGGGTTTTTTTTATCTTTTTTTAAATAATTTTCGATATCGGAATATAAAACATCAAAAAAATGTATTGTCATCCCAAAAATTTAAAAAGTATACAAAATTTTAAAACTCCCAAACGGTTGAAGGTAAACTTCAAAAATTTATTTGAAAATTCCCCAAAAAATTTCTTTAATTAATATCTATACTTTAAAAACGAAGGGTAAACAAACGTAAAACTATGACTGGGAATTTTCTTTTCATGAACAACACGGCCAGAAGCTCGCCAAAGGTATCAAAAAATTGGGGGAAGGAAACCCTTTTTACCATTTCATTCCGAAAGTGCAAAGGGGTTTTAAAAAGATTTTTTTAAAAAATTAAAAAAGCATAATTATTGCCATTTTTCCTGGGCGGTTTAAGTTCTTTTAACCCATCCCCAAAAAAACAAAATTTTTTGAGGTTAGACAAAAAAAATTACAAATCGGAAAAAAACATTTACTTCGCCACCCCCCATGCGGGGTTAAAAATTTATTTTACAAAATAATGATATTTTACATTTTTTTTCTAAAATGAGTCAAAATTGATACGTTTTTATGAAAATGACTTCTAAATCGTCCCGATTGTATTTTCTTTCACGGTAATGACATGACATTCAACACTAATAAAATTCATGCTTTTTTCTTTTAGGATCAGCCATTTTAAAAATAAAATGTGAAAAACTTTTTTTTTACAATTTTTCAAAAAGTACTCAAAATTTTATTTAAATACTTAAGAATTTCCTTATTTATAAAAAATAATCTCATGAAACCCTTTTTCCGTGTGTAGAACGATATTATCTGTAATCTGTACAGAGATTGAAAAAATTCCTTAAAAATTACGGCTAAAAAAAATTGTGTTTTCGTTTTTTTCCTTTTTTTGAAGAGATATTTAAGCATTATTTTTGTAACATTTTTTTGTTTAAAAATTACCGTTGTTTGCAATCGATATATGAAGTTTGGAAGCATTAACTTAAAAATGAAGTCCGAAAAAATATTTTAACTTTAACAAATAACGCAATGCCAAATTGAATATCTCTTCCTTTTATTTCAACGGTCTTTTTTTCTTTTTTTTCGAAGATTTCGTGGATCGGTTGTGGAGCGCTGGATTAGTATCTTTTGTACCCGGGTTCGAAACAACATCATCGCTTAGTTTTTATGATTTTATTTAAAAAATACTCAAAATTTTATTCGGGCGCTTAATAACTTCGCCAGCAATTTTCTAATTAAAAAGAAAATTTATTTCGTCACGACACAGTATTATCATTATTATTTTTTTACAAAACAACGATACTTTACATATTTTATGATTTTTTTCTAAAATGAATCTATATCGATGCGTTTATATGAAAATGATTTTTAAAAAACTCATACTTTGATCTTTTACAGTTAGTGGTGATTTAAAAAATAAAATATCGAAAACTTTTTTTTACGAATTTTTGTGTGCAATAATTCATTACATTTTGTGCCACTGGATGACTGCACGTGTCAAGCTGCTTAAGAATTTGTGAATGTTCACTTACTCGAGAGCTCTGATAGCGAGAGAAGGGGAATTTTCATGACAATATGTTATGCATTTAAAAATGTTTGTGCAACGCCAGGGAGAAATAAACCTGTCTGACAAAGAAAAGCGAAAAAATTCCGAAACAAGGAATTTTAAGTTAAAAACTTGGTAAAGGTTCCAGCAACACCGGGCTAAGCGGAGGAATGGGTGGAAGTCATTTTGAAAAAGAGTACTAGAAGTGCTGATTTTGTGAATATTATAAAAGTAGAGAATATGTAATGAAAAATATATAAATTTTGAAATATTATAAAAGCAGAGAAAGCCGTGCAACGCCGGGCCATGCAGCTAGTCTTTTTTACTAATTGCGATATCGGAAAATAAATGGCCACCTGAATATTTTACATTGCAAGTTAAGAGCTTGTAAAATATAACATACTTTGTACTTATACAGAGTGGAAGTATTGTAAAATATCTCATTGTACAAATCAAACGAATTACAAAAATATTTTACACGGAAAAATAAAAATTGGAGGCGCAGGTTATCGATCCTGGTACCTTTCGCGTGCTAAGCGAGCGCTCTACCATCTGAGCTACGCTTCCGGTTGACACACGTGTTACTGTAAACATGCTCGCCTTAACACCTGTACAAGATCGTTACAGTAACTAGGTCGATATTGGAATATAAATCGTCAAAGCATGCATTGTCATCCAAACTAAACGTGTATACAAAATTTCAGCTCAATCGGTTGAAGACACAGCTTCAAAATTGAGTTGAAAGATTCCCACCGAAACATTTTTACATTGCAAGTTAAAATAAAAGCTTGTCAAAATATATAGAAGCGTAGCTAATAGTAGAATTTAAAAAAATTAAGTTAATTCCTAAGGTCAACAAAGAAAAAATTTAATATATAGGTTACTTTTATTAAATAATTACAATATAAATATGTGCATACATATGACAGAAACTTAATATTAGGTGGCAAAATAGAAAGCGAATTTCCATTTTATATAGGGTATTGGAATATTATTTTTGCTAAAATTTATACATTAATTAAATTTAATTATTCCAATAAAATAGTATGGTGAAAAGAGATCACGTCATTTCATGTAAGATTCGAACCCACGACCTTTGGATTAGAAGTCCAACGCGCTATCCATTGCGCTACAGGGACAAAATGAGCCATTTTCCTTTTTATATAAGGAGTTGGACTATTATTTTTGTTTGTTACTAACTGTTCATTAATTAATGAATTAATATTTGAAAAAAACTGAATTAAGATCAAGTGTCATCCACTGCAAGTTTAAAAAAATGTATTTGAACTTCAGTGGATGAATAAAAAGTGTTTTATTAATGATTGAAAATTTGAGCAAGATATATATATATATAGGGAGAGTGTGAACTAATAGAAATTTAAAAATTATAATCATATTTTACTAAAAAAATTTTTTCCCCCCTTTCATATGTATTTATTGAAAAATTTATCTATATTAACTTCATTTAAACATTAGAATGGCTCAAGACAATTACTCGTGTGTTAAATTGCTTTCTATTAACAAATTTTGTTGGAAATCAGTCAAAATATTCGGATTATTCCTAAAGCAGGCTAAGTCCAATTAATTGCTAAAAATACTGCATCGGAAAACACTCCTTTTGAAGTGGTTCTCTGTAACGTTTATTTATATGCATACATAAGTTTGGGAGCTCTCATGAAATGACAAAGGATACATTTTAACCCTCAAAGATTCCTTATTTTATTCTCTTCAGGGTTAAAATGTCTTTCAGAGGAAATCACTCTTTTTCAAAGAAAGAGTGATTGTTTTCAATTTTAAATCAGCAATTCCTTCCATTGCATTTCATTCCTTTAAACAGCAAATGGTAACTATTATATTGTTTATTTCCTCGAGACTTAAAATAACATACAAATATTTTTACCATATTAAGATAAAGTCAAAACATACCTTATTGCAGCGGTTCTTAAACTGTGGTCCCCAGACCCATGGGAGTCACAACCCCTTTACTATGGGGTCTACGGAGTTTCTAATATAATGTTAAGAATTCCTTGTTTTACAAGACTCCGAAGGTCTCATGGAAAAATTAGATGAGCCACATCCTAGACTAGATCACTAAATTTCCATCAATAAAAAAAAACTACTAGATCATGTATTTCAATCAAGAATATTAAGTTAGGGAGATAGGTTCAAAATCTTTGGGGTCCACGATGACAAGCTGATACACAAAGGGGGAACCATGGGAATTGAAAGTTTAAGAATTGCTGCCTTATTGTATTTACTTTCCTCTACAAAGCGAGCTATAAAAATAATATTCAGCTTAGTAAAATTTTTTTTGTGAATTTTTCATATTGTTGAGCTAATTCGAAACCATTTGTAAACTAAAAATAAGAAATTTTTTTATGCTAGAAAAATACACTTGTAACTTAACAAAATCACATACACACAAAATTCACATCCAGAAGAAAGTTTAATTGATCAAATACAATACATGAATACATAAATAAGGATTTTTACATGACACACTTTATATACATGTGACTAGGAACCAATTCAAAATCATGGGTAAACTAAGGATATGAAATTTTTCTATGTTAGAAAAATACTGACTTATTAAGATAACAGGCATACATACAAAAAAAAATCACATCCACCAGTTTAATTGGTCAAATTCAGGATTTGGAAAAATGGCAAATAAAATATATTTTATTTCAATTGAAATTATATATTGTACACACTGTACAGAGACATTATACAGGGTGATTTGAAAAGAAGTATACATTTCCCAGATGCTGTAAAACAGTAACAAAACACTTATTACCTCAGCATATTGTGAGGTAGATATACTCTTAAAGTTTGGTTTTCTCCCCTCATGGAAGTGATGTAGGCAGCAGCATGTGTCATGCAATTAGTCAATCAAAATGATGCTGTCTGCAGTGGAAACAGCATTTTGTATTCTTGAATTTAGCAAATTGTCACGGTAACCACTTTTTTTGGGAATGTTAACTCTTTGGTTGATGCTACAGTTGCAGGCTGACATTGGCAATTTCCTTTTCCAACTGGATATTGCACCACCAGACTGGTCAGCCAATGTGCGAGATTACCTCATTGAACCACTTTCTCATCAATGGATTGGACAAGTCAAGGACTGCAACATGCCACTTACCCAATGGCCACCCAGATCTTAACATATCGTTATTTCTTTCTGTGGGGCTACATAAAGGAGTAGGTATACGTCTCTCCCCTTCATGTTGATTTAGCGGAGCTGAAATAGCGTATCTCAACTGCTATCGATGGACTTGATTCAGATACCTTAATGCGTTTGGGCAGAAATGGATTACCAGATCAATGTTGTTGTTGTTACTGATGCCACCTGATCGGCAAAGGCCAGATCGAGACCCACGAAATTCATCATGGTAAAGGGCTAAGTGACGCCTATCGTTAGCCGTAGCTTTGAGCACCATACAGGTGACAGTACGATTTGATTCGTTTCCACTCCAATTTTGAGGGAGGACTGGGGGTGGTCAGGGCCTCCCACCTCTCTACCCCTTCCACCAACCACACGAGAGGACTTGCGGCTCGACGAGCTATTTAGAGTACCCCCATGCTGCAAAGGCACTATACATTTACAAACATCCATGTCTTCTCTGGATTCAAACACAGTCCCTACGGCACTCAGTCAGCGTCGTTAACCACTATACCGGTTTGGTGACTACCAGATCAATGTGTGTTGAGTAACTAAGTGTTCACTCATAGGACATCTCCAACTGTCTCTCACAAAACTTAAAGTAATCCCATTCCATTTTATTACAAGTAAAATATAATGCCTTACATTGTTCTTGATTTATAGTGCATTGAAAATGTATGCTTCTTTATGAATCAACCTGTGTATATACATCGATAAGTATTTTCATATGACACATATTTAAATACATCACATGAATACAATAGAACATGAATACAATCATCATAGAATACAATACATCAATACACAGTGACTAATAACTTTGGTTTGAAACCATAGCTAAGAACAGAAAACCTTTCTATTCAAGGAAAAAATGTTTTTAACTTATTCACTTTATACATGTCCATCAAGAAAATTGGGCACACTCCACAATGGAATTTATTCATCAAATTCATGAGTTTTGGTGTGCAAATATTATGACAAATAATACATTTCCCACATTTCGATTGATGTTATGAATATGTACAGTGCACAGAGACAAATTATATACAATATACATGAATACATAGATAAGTATTTCAATGTGACATATATTTAAATACATGAAGTCAAAAATTATCCCTAGCAAGAATATAATACATTACTATACAGTGATAAAGATCCAGAGAGGTAGGTACTGCAGTATAGGCAATACAAGGTCCCCGAGCTACAGGGGCCCAACAAGTGTAATATTTTGACACTTTTTTATTTTCCAAAAAAGGCCCTGAAGAAAATTTGACATGTGGCCCACTAGGAACACCACATTGGACAAAAACCATAGCAAGAATTGAAAAACTTCCTATGTTGGGAAAGTACTTTAACTTAAATTTAATTGGGTTCACTCCATAACAAAACTTGATCCATCAAATTCATGATTCTTTTTGATATACAAATATCATAACAAATAATACATTTCATTTCAGTTGAAATTACAAATTTGTTAATATATAGACACTTTATATATATCAATACAGTACATATATATGGTGGTTAACATCGGTTTGAAATCATAGCTAAGCTACTTTCTATGCTAGAAAAATATTTTAACATTAACTTTAAATGAGCATGCAATAAAATTAATATATGTCCATGAGAAAACTTGTACTGTACATTCCATAAGAAAATTTAATGCATCAAATTCATGACTCTTCATATCAGGGGTGTAAATATCACCCTATCAATGATATAGGACCCCAAGCTTCAGGGGTCCCAAAATGTGTAAGTAAAAAAATCATATGTTAAAAGGAGCCCCAAAAAGACCCCCAAAGAATTTTCATCCAGGGTCTAATTGGGACTGGCTATGCCAGTGCCACATATACAAATAATGCATTTCATTTCAGTTGAAATTATAAATTTGTAAACAGTATATATATATACACACATTATATCAATATAATACAAGAATACATAGACAAGCATTTCTACATGACATATTTAAATACTTCACGTGAAATGATCAATACCTAGATTACAATGCATTAATGTACAGCAATAAACATTGGTTTGAAATCATAGCTAAGAGTAGAACACCTTTTTATATGCTAGAAAAATATTTCAATTTTAAATGAGCATGCAACAAAATTCATTACTTACATGTCAATGAAAAAATTTAACCGGGTACACTATTTAAAAGTGACCATTGATTCCTTGAAAAAAAAAATCCTATATTCTATGAATTTTCCTTTCAAAGACTCAACAGCAGTACCTACTATTCATACAAGGAATTTCATATGCATTTAAGCAGAATGATACAAAAAAAATCCTATATAAGAAAAACAGTTTAGCAGATGTTTTCTTTTTTTCTGTATTAAAATATATAGTTATAACATACTGCAATTTTAATCACTTTTAAAAGAAAATAACTTTT